ATAGTGAGGTGTAATTAATTACTGGCATCACTTTTTTTTAAAGACACATTTCCCTCTGAGTTAAATTAGGGGTTTTAAAGTGTGCTTCATTTTTTGATTAATTATAAATTTTAGTGAGTTTCACAATAATATTTCATTATAGTGTTGTCAGCCGTGGCCATATTTCATTACTGACAACATTATCTTTAACTTATTCATAAAAGCATCGAAATGTTCTTCTCCCTGCTCGCTTTTGCTATTTTTGAAATGTTACATATAATAAATTTTATAATAAAGCAAGACCGTGGCTCCAGTCTTTATTTCCTGTTAAACTTTTAAACTAAAATAATCCAGCTTCTTTCCATCATCAGCAGTCTTTTATTTCACTTTACAAAAACTGTTGCCACACATAAAAATGAAATATCAAACATCACACATGTGACAAGTGGATCGTATGTGACATCACAACACAGACAAATAGGACTTTTTGGGAACCACTTTTTGTACATGGAAGATAGATGTATTTACACATGTACACACAAAATCACATTATCTGACATATTTACAACAGTTACACAAATTCTAATTGTCACAAATGGCAACGGCACAATAACAGAGCATTCTCAGACATTACATGTTCAGAGTGAACAAACAGGAAATGTTTTTCCTTTATTTTATTTTTTCTTGGAATGAAATAAACTTTATAAAGCTTCAATTGTAACAGTAGAGCCCGTATAGGAGAACTGCATGTATATCAAAACCAGTGCAGTAAAATGCATTGGTCTTTATTATATTTACTTTGTTTTAACCTAAAATCTGTAGGTGTTGGGTCCTTTATATATTCTCATTTTATAATTTCTAAAAGGGAAAAAATATATAGGATCTCTAAAAATTGGTGAAAATATAGAATTTTAAAGAAGATTTTATTCTTTGATTGAACCTCCACATGGTGCGTCTACATAGTCTGACTGGCAGTTGAACAAGAAACTACTTACAGTACATGATATTGAATAACAGCTAACAACCATGCAAGCTCTTGGATCAGAATGGACGTGAATTCGGCAATTTCAATGCATAATTGTCCTTTCATTTAAAGCAACAGTCAACAGTAACACTTGATAGCAGCTGGGAAGCATTACAGGCATGTTGGCGGACTCATTGGCTTTTTTATGGGTGTAAAATAGCTTTTTTTTATTATTATATTTTCTTAACCTGAAAGAAAATACAAACTAAATCTGAAATCTCCATAAAACATGCTGTGGGTGTTTGCGGATCTAAGACAGTGAATTTTTATAATGTTGAAGATACCCAGCTCCACCATCACCTCAAAATGTTTTAGAATGAAACAACCAGAGAGCAAGTCCCAAGGTGATGCCCTCTAAAATTTCCGGTTTGGTCATAAAATAGCTTAACCTCTCATGCCAAAGGAGGGAGGCACTTAATAGATAATCACCATAATCATGTTGCTCTAAGACTTAATTTACATATTCATTGTCCCCAGAGGATTAGATCTAATAGAAAAAAAGAAAGATTATGGTGAATTTACACGTAAATCACACCAAAAGCAATGGATACATTAAAATAGTGGACATTTTCCATTAAAATGCTGTGTATTTTTTATGTAAATATATGTAATTGTAAGTCTAAGTGCTCGGTTCTAAGTGCCATCTTCAGTGTAACTAATGACCTCGCTGTGAAGCGTGTTGTGGATATTCATGGTCCCCAGAAGATGTCTCAGTTAAACTTTGATTGTGATGATTGCATTACCCCTTCTCCCAGTGCCATCACCAGCTCAGATTTTCTGCACTGTGCAAAATGAACTAGTACAAACCAATTTAATGGAGAGCTTGCTATGAAAATGTCCCCATTCCTGCTCACCAGAGGAGGTATCTTTACATTTTTCTTTATAAATTATCCAGTTTGTCTTTTTGTGACCCTTTAGGCCAAATTATAACTTTTGAAAAGATTGGTGTGAAACTTCCTGTGGATATTCATGGTCCCCAGTGGACAATGTGATTACAGCCCATTCTTAAAACTATCATCAGCCCAAACTTTCTGCTTGCTAGCTTGTTCTTGTCCTCTAAGCACCCCAACAGCTACATCATGATTTTGAACACAAACAAAACAAACTGTTGGCCAGATTGATGTAAATTTAGTGGGAGTGGGGTGGAGGGGGGGTCCTCTGCATTCATTCTGTGATTGTTTTTAGTTAAAGTACACTATATGAACACTACACTATATGAGTAAATGTATTGGACCACACCTCTTAATCTTTAAATAGAGGTGTTTTCAGTCCTATTGCCACAAGCTTATCACATCAAGCATCTAGCCATGCGGCCTGCCTTTGTAAACATTTGTGAAAGAATGGGTCACTTTAAAGAGCCCAATGAATCTGAACACAGTACAGTGATAGGATCCACAGCAACAAGGTATTTCATGAAATTTCTCCCTCCTAGAAATTATATGATCAGCTGCAAGTGGCGCAGCTCCTGTAGGTGTGGTGTGTAGGTGTCCCATTACTTGTGTTCATATAGTTTTTCTTGTCTTCATATTTCTGTGTTTCTCTGTAGTAGACTGACCGACAGTCACTTTAAACAAACTGGACCCTGGACTAATCTCTTGGGCTTTTTGGTCTATGTTCAGTAATCTGTCCACAATTCTGGTGAAAGTTAACAAAATGTTTAGGTCTCTAGGCCCAGTCTCTTATTTGGAATGCCTTTTGAATTTCTCCTAGCTCTTTGGGATTGGTTGGATCCCAGTACAAAAAATAAGCATTGCCTTCTTCTGTGGTCAAAAACAAAGCAAAACAAAAATATAACAGATTTGTGTCAGATATGCATAAAGTCATAGCCCAGTCTATAAAAAGGTAAGAGGAAGCTGATGCTTCATGACTTGCAAAACATGAATGGATGGAGAGCAGATGGATTGATGAAAGCCCAGGAAATGGAGAAACATACAGTAGATGGATGTCTGCAGGAAGAATGAGAGAGAGATAGATGACAGCAGCTGAAACTAATCGTCCGGCTCCAGAACTAAATCATTTTTGCCCTCAGACCCAAATGTCCACTCAGATCTGACAGTGGAGGTAGGTGAATGCTTTTTCAGTCTGACACTTTCCGTTCATTTTCCTTCTGCTCAATCCATATCGATACTCTGCCCACCATTATATAAACAGCTCTGAGCTACACATGCAACACAGATTTGATCGTGTCTGTTTTTAAAGGTCGTTTTGGAAAGCTAATCGTGATTCTGAAACTCTTTGTTGTCAAAGTGCTTATCAATCATGAGAAGGAACACGTTTCCCTTTGTTTGGTAGAAACATGAATACGTCTTTATGTATTTTCTAAAGTGAAAACAAAAATGTGAACTTATATGTAACTTTAGTAACAACACAATGTGGTCTTTGGTGACCAAGAGTACAGACAAAATTAAAAGATTTTTAAAGAGTCATACTTATTCTTACTCATAAGACAGCATGTTACAGGTACTTGAAACATGCACAAAGAAATGTCAGAAATCAAGCATCAGTGAGCTTTTTAACACTTTAGCACTAAAAATATGTTATGCTTGCAAGCCTTGCATAGAGATGACTTCACTATAGTGGGTCTGGTAGAGCTGATACAACAAATGTGTCTGTAGTAGAGTTTCATCAGGTGCTCCATATTAACATCTGCAGCAGATGATATAGCTTATGCCTCTTATTTATTACCTTATGTTCTTGTTACAGAGTAAAGCTGATGTTCATAAATTAATTGGAAACATTTAATTAATAGCCCAAAAGATAAACTGAAAATTACTTTGGACAAACATCTGCACAGATGCCTTTAATCACGTCAGCAAAATCAATCTCCTGTGGTGCTTTAAAAGTGTTTTTAATTATTTTTTAGCAATTTGAAGAAGACTTTGAGGAGACTGTTCCTGTTTTGTGGAACTTAACTTACACTAATTTCACAGTTGATTGAATTAAAGTGTTTGAGTGATTCAGCATCTTTTTGAAAGAAGAAGGGATTTTACTACAATTACTGCCTTTCAATTGTAGAAGACAACTATAAAAAAATACTTGCAAAATTAAAAACGTGCAATTCATCACCCTTCACAATGGCTTAATTTTTTAAAGTCATCTTATCATTTAAAATGAGTAAGAAAGTTGCATTAATCAAGAAGTGGCTGAAAAAAAATATTTTCAGAAAGTTCCTCAAGATTTATTTATTTCTTTGTTGTTCAAATGTCTGACATGGGCATCCTTCCTTCTGACCAGCAGAGGGCGACTCCTTGAGTTTCAATGAGGCTTCTGGTTGTACAGAACTCAGTGGAACAAAGAAGCGTCACCTCTCTTAAGTCAGGACCTCAATAAACTCTTTCGTTGAACGTTATTGTCTCATTATCGAGTAACACTTCTTATGTAATGCAACATAATATTAACTTTGTAAACTGTGCTAATTATTAGATTCACAAAGGAAGGATTTACCTTACTGTAGGAATAGCTATAAGCCTAATCACTGTATGTGCTCATTTATTTGGCAGTGTTTTCTGTTTACTTACATTAAGCCTGAAATGAAACATGCTGAGGCGCAAGTAAAACAGAATTGTTTTTTTTTTTAAGAAACAAATAAAAACTTGATACACAGTGACATCAATAAATAATGTCACTGTGTCTTTAAGGTGTTTTAATACAGATTTCATGGTAAAGTATAACTCATAACTTCTGAATTTTAGCTGGTATGACTGTTCTTAACTTAAAATAGGGTGTCTGATGGAGAACAATTGCTATTATTGATCATTTCTATGGATCACTTGTATCTATTTTCAACCTAATGAGCTTGTGCACAGGCATTTCCACACCAAAAAAAGTGGTACTTGTGACCAAAAGTGGGCACCATCTCTACACCATGAAATGTCTCACCCCAAAGATGGACATCTGTCATTATGAAGGAGCTACCACATAAAGTTATTTCCATGATAAGTACTCGAGTTTCTGCCAGTAACTTTACAGATAACCAGTGGGCTGATTCTTAAAAGGCACCAAGGTAGAACAGAGCAGAACTGGCACCATATTACTGGAAATAAGATATTAGTGGTCCTTAAATAAATAGTATTGTGATGTGATCTTTGTTTTGTTGAGGAAATTAATTAGAAGAGGTCAGATTTTTGGTAAAATGTGTTTTTTTTCAGGGCCCTACTTTCCTTTATTCTTGAAAATTTCCTTACAAGCTAGCACCAGCAACCCCAAGGACAGCTTCACCCTGGTGATTCTTGTGAAATTGTCTCAGTTTGTGATGGAAATAAAGCATGCCACCCCTTTTTGAAGGACTTTGAATTAACTGGCATATTCCATGTTAGCATGGAGCTTTGGTATCAGGACTCTACTATCAGCACAAGGATGATTTCACTGTCAAATCTTTTAAAACTTAATGGCAAAAACAACCCAAAAATTCTTTCCTTGAAGGGAAGCTGCTCTGTGAATACATCCCTCATGACTCCAGACCACCAGGAGAGAATGACAATCTGTCTTAGTCATCCATGTCCTGCTGGGTCCAGTCCACTCTGGTTGTTTATCAGTCACTGGGGTCCTGGCAGTGGGAGCAGTAGCTCATGTCTTCAGAGTAGAGCTCTACCTGGATGGTGATGCTGTAGAAACCAAACTTGGTGTGAAGTAGGTCAGTGGCCTCCTGCAGCACAGACTGCTGGTCAGTGCCCTCCTCTGGTGGTGAAACAAGAAGGTAAAAATGAATAGAGCGAGTGTGGTTTACTCTACTGTGGTCTGTTAGGGGTGTAACACAGAAATCCACATTTCGTATCACAGTTTTCTCTTCCCATATCGGAATATGTCGGCTAATGCTCATCAGCCATGTGGAGCTTTTAATGTCTGGTTAAAGTAGCCTTAATTCCCTGTGCCTCTCACTGTACTATGCACTGTAGATCAGTGTGTTACTTTACCTACGGCCAGGTGAACAGAAACCAGCGCCTGGCCCAGAGTCAGAGCCCAGAGGTGCAGGCAGTGCATGGACTTCACAGCTTTCACAGACAGCAGCACCTCCTTCACCGAGTTAAACTCGATTCCTTTAGGGGACCCTGAAAAACAACGGGCCATCAAAATTAAGACACACCAAGTTAACAGTACGTCTGTGAATGTGTGGCTCACATGCAAACAGTCTGCTTCAGATACACAGAGACTTTGTAGAGCTGATTTTGGCCTGGTATACAGAACAATATTATTCCTTGATAAGCACACAGTGATATATTTTATTTTACTGATCTACAGGTGGAAAAGAAGTCAAATTTGACTAAAATCACGACTAGTTATACAGTAGTTAATTAAAACTAGTCACTAAAACTATAGAGACAATGTGCAGGAGCCATTCCTGAACATGAGACTAAGGTAGTTGCATGACTGCCTTCAAAATTTGTTTTGTGTACTACAATATCTATTCTGAAGATCTTAAATCTGGGAAATATTTCTACGTTAAGATTATAAAAACACTAAAACTAACAGTGAAAGTAATAAAAATAGGCTAAAATTGGACATTTCAAACTATATAAACAGACAAACCTAAAAGGGAAACAAAAAAGTAAATTCAACCCAAAAAAATATATAAATGCAAACTAATCATAAATACAAGTATTAAAACTCTGATGTATGTATACAGTATTACATCAGATACATGGCTCTCATGCACGTTATCATTTTGCTCATTGACACCAAACTGTGAGCTTCTTTTCAAAGATGCCCAAAAGCTACTTTGGGTCATCGTGTGAAAGTTCAGTGACGTGCAGAGACTTGGGTGATCTAACATCTCAGGGCATCCCCAGGATGTGACCATCTGTCCTGTTTGTTCTATGCCAGGAAAACCACAGACACGTTTCTCTGCTGTTTTACACAAACATGCCATGTGGAGCTTGGGGACATACATATCTGAAGCCATGAATACTTCAGTTAGGCTCCAAATATGTTGTTTTTTGCACTTCTACGTGACATAACTGTCCTTTGCAACATATGATGTTAACCTTTTTCATACCAGGTCAAAGCCTGACAGCTGGATCCAAGCTGCAGGCATCATGGTCAGAAATATCTCATAAGCTTAATTTAAAGCAATATTCAACCTTTCTCAAAAGAGTTTTTTCTAATAAACAGCATAAACTGATGCAGGGTAGCTGCATGCTTGTTTCTGAGCGTTGACCTAAAACAAGCTGCTGGCTTTAACAGCAGTGTTACTGAACTTTATAGGTATTGGTAGGCTGGCGGTTTCTCCCTTTTCCAATCTCATATCAAGCTGAGACACTGAATTTATAGCTTGAAGAGTCAGGAAATAAAAATCAGATTTATGTTTGTTGGATTTTTTTGTTTTTTTCTTTGGCTCGTATTCCTGTTTATCTACTTTTCGCGATATCGGGCACCTGGGTACCCATGGATATAGCAAAGGTAGTTTGTGGTGTTTAAGGCAACAAAAATATAATTAGAAAAACTGCACAATGTATTTTTCCACCAACTGTGATAGATTTACCAAAAAAAAAAGAAGTATAAATTAAATCAAATCCACCAATTTAGTTTTAAGCAGTTTCACCGGGAACTGTGTTGTTGTTTTTTTCATACTAAACTATTGCTAACCAAAAGAAGCATGTAACTGAAATTACAGCAAGGGAGCTGCCATTAATCATTACATTCTGCTGTTAGCCTGAGCTTCTTGTTACGGGCAGTTGCACAGTTTCTTCTGCACAGTAAGGCCTCGATTATACTCTGCTGCAAACACAAACAGCTTGAGAAACCACGGCTGAGCAGTCATTTCTGCTATACGTCTTTAAAGTCAACCACCTGGGTTGCATCCATGTTTGGTGCATTGTAATGCAAAGTCCCTGCAGCTGAGTCTTCACTCGCAGAAAAATGAAGCAGGCATGCAAACATCTGCACAGACCCTCAACTTCACCATATGAAGAAGAAATTTAAGTCACTCTAAGCCAAGCCTAGAGGAGGAGACGCTATAACAGTTATATTTTTATTTCATCTTATTTTATCTTTATTTAGATTTCAAACTGAAAGGGTGTGACAGAAGCTACAGCTTATATAACATCTGCCCTTGATGCCACAATCATGTAAGGAAAATTGTGAACTAGATTTTAAACCTCAGATTTAACACAATAAAAGAAGAAAAAGAAATAATAATCATTCATGTCAAATCCAGCTACAGATGAACCCGTTGTATCGAAAGCATCTTCACATTAAACATTTATCACAGTATTGAAAAATGTATTTTTCTGGATGATCTTTTTAAGAAGTTTCAGTGTGATGCAGGTTTTTTTTTTTCAGGACAACAACCTTAGGACACAAAAACTGGCCTGACTTCATACTGGACTTATTGGATTGGATTTGTTATAATTCCATTTTAAGAACTTCTGGAGATATTATGTTGCAATTGTACATTTTATGCTTTGAATCAAATTTTTGAACTTCAATGTGTTTAATTAAATTATAATAAATAAACAAATATCAAATTTATTGACTTACAACAGGGTTTGTTATCATTACACGGGGGGGTTTTTTTGGGTTTTTTTTGAGTAACTGCATTATAATTTCTGACAAGAGTTTGTGAGTTTTTCAAATACATGTTTTTCCATTTTGAGCCCACATAGTCAGTTCCCTCCTGCACTCAAAGACAAGCATTTCTACAGCTGATCTGGAGAACCCAGTATGTAGATAGATCAGTGGCGCAACAAGCAAGAGGAAAAACACATATGTAAATCTGGTGTGAAGTACCCCTTTTGCATAATAACAAAAATACTTTATACTTCATGGGAACTATCAGGTACAGTATATGATTCCACTATTAAAATATGAAAAAGTATTTCGAACATAAGAAGCTGTTGATTGTTTAATACCTTCCATGAGTATCCTAAAGACGTCTCTGAGGATGGTGACAGTGGTGCAGAGAACAAAGACAGAAAATAGGAACGTGCAGATGGGGTCTGCGACTTTATACTCGGGCTGAAAGAGAGAAAAGAGGTTAAGGACACTTTAAAGAGCGAGGAAAAGGGCGTCAGATGGTGATTTCCACAGTCATGAGGCACTAAAGTGCTCCAGGCACAAAAACAAGAACATCTTGCAACACAACAGAAATGCTTGAATCTTTCATCCATAATACATAAGAAACCATACATGGTTTCTTTGTACACATTCAAATATAATTCTCTAATGCTCAGAATACAAATATGCTTGTACCTGTAAGCATGTCTTTGTGCTTTTAACATGACTCTGTTTTATATCATGTAATATATCTGTTTATCTGACCCGGAAGTAGATGATGGTCGCCGCCACCATGACGCCGACACTCTGCAGCAGGTCTCCCACCACGTGGATGAAGGCAGCACGGACGCTTGTGTTACCATGACTGCCGAGGAGGGCGTGCGAGTGGCCATGAACCACGGGGCTCTGACCATCCTCGTCGATCTGGTGGTAACCGCTGCCGTGAGCGTGGAAGGTGGTCGAATGGTGGAGGATGTACGCCATGCTAGAGAAAGGAAACGAGACAAAGGGTCATCAGTTGTATTCGCATGCCTTGCTTCATGGCACTCAGGAAACAGATGTGCTCTTCTAAGATATGACGGAATACCGTCATATCTTAGAAGAGCACATCTGTCCATCATTTTTCTCAATCAGATCCTCCCTTTTGCTTCTTGCATCTGGTCTCATTAGACCAAGATGTCAGTAGAGGAAATGTGAGTGAGGTCGCCATGGTTACAGCCATCTTTTAAATACTGTCTATGGTTTTTGTTAGTAAAATATTTGTAATTTTTTTATTATTAGTAAAAGTAATGGTAATATTATGTAATGGTGTCAATAGCAGCAGCATACATTGAGAGCAAAGTTTTTACAAGCGTTAATATACTTTTAAAGGTGTGAAGCACTCACACAATATTGACGATGACAGCACAGCCAGAGGTGACCAGCATGACGTGTCCATCAATCTCATAGTCGTTACGTACGATCCTCTCAATGGCCAAGTAGACCAGAGCTCCAGTGACGATCCAGATGGACATGACTGAGATGAATGCCCCGAGGATCTCTGGAAGGAGAAGAAAATCATGAACCTTTATTACTTTATTGTAGTCATGCAGTTCATCACAGATAATAAGGAGGCACATCTACTGTATGCTGCTGACCATATACTTTTAAAATTAAACTGCTTCTTCTGAGCTTAAACTAAACTGACTTTACTAATACGTTGATGGCCTCAATCACCAGTTCCCTGTCTTAGTAAATGCAAGTTAATGTTCATCTTGTAAATGATGGTCAGTATAGCAGGCTACACTTAAACTCCACACCATATGAGCCTCCCGCTGTACTTCAGTCAGAGTCATTACTTGCTCAAAACAAGTGGTCTCAAAATAGCAAAAAGATTTCAGATCAAGGCTTTAAAACAGGAATTCATAACTAATGGATGATTTCATAGATGCCAAGTCTGTCTTAATAGGTGTTTGTTTTTCTATAATCTGTATCTGGAATCTGTCTATATAATTTCTCCTTGTGTAAGCCACCACGTGAACATCATGCACCTGATATATAGGACAAATCATTTAAATAAAAAAAAGGATGAAGACAGTATTTTTTCTTAGTATAAAAATGCTCCCAGGAGAAGGTTAGCAGAAGATCGATCTATCCATTTTCTGCCACCTGCATAGGACTGTGTCATGATACTAGCAGTCTTTACAGAAATGACCAGGCCTCCCTCTCTACAACCACAGCTTCCAGCTCTTGTGACACTAAAGTGTTCCCAAGCCAGCCGAGAGACATGATTTCTGCAGCGTATCCTGGGTCTACTCCAGGTACTCATCCCATACTATGCCAGAAACATTTCAGCTAGGAGGTGGTAGGTGTGTTACTCAGATAGCCAAACCACCTTAACCCCTTAGCAGTCCTACAAATTTACAATTAGTCCCCTGAACCATCCAATGTACCGTGGGCGGTACGTCCGACTGCTAACAGGTTAATTGTCTCCTTTCAAGGAGGAGAAGCAGCAGACTGACTGCAACTAGAAATCCTGTTGATAAGAATTATGAACAAAGTTGGTAACAAAGAGCAACCCTTTACCAAACTGCAGCACCACTGGACTCTTGGAGAACCAGAGGGACATGTTTAAATGCCTTCTTCACAAAACACATCAAAACTGAAGGAAGGCCACATCATTTCTCCTGAATCCAAAGTTTATACTGTTTAGATTCTTCTCTCCTGTATCTTGGTGTAGATGTTTTCAGGCAGGCTGATGAGAGCGATCACTTGAAGATAGAAAACAGCCTCTAGTTCCTTTTCTTAAAAAGTGAGATCATCAATCCAGGCTGACATTACCTGCCCCAACCTTTACACAGGGATACACCAGGGTGTGCAATCAGGATAGCCACAATACATCTAGTGACTCAAGCAAGTTGAGGCCATGTAGAGTTTATTTTGCCCATGTGCAGTTTACATGGACAAAATAAAGGAAAATCTACACAAAATAACTCAGGCCCAGGAACTCCTACAAATGACCAGCAATATAATGCATATACGAAATGTTTGTCTCCAGCATCCAGTCGACATGAAGCTGAAGCTGAATTCTTATTATTCTCACCTGATCTGTGCCAACCAAAGTTCATGGTTTTGGTGGGCGGTCTGGAGGAGATCCACAGGGAGAACAGACTCACCATCATGCTGCCAAAGTCTGTCAGAAGGTGGGCCGCATCAGTCATGATGGCCAGGCTGTGGGCCAGGTAGCCTCCTGTAAATCAGGAGGAAAAATGACACTGGGCACAAATGATAATGTATATGAGCCACGAGACTGCGTTTATAATAGTCTGCTTAGAGATAAGGAAAGACACATAATCCAACTCATGTCACTTTTTTTTTGTGGTATGTACATAAATGTTGAATACGATATCCAAACAGAACAGAGCAAACAGAAAGTGTGAAGCTGTGTTTATTTTCATTCACATTTAGCTAAAAAAAAGATTTTTATTAAAAAGTGTGTCGTAGCTCGCCAACTGTGAAAGTACCTGCTGGGTAATAACATCTCTTTTAATAGCTTTTAAATACACCCATCTTAGACACTCAGAGGTATATTAAACATGTGATTTAAAGCCTCAGTTGCCTCAGGTAAAAGAGCGATTTTATTCTTTTAGATCATTTAAAATATCCGTGCAACCAGCCAGTGAATGTCAGCCACCATTTTATTCTCTTAACAGTAAAAAAGTTACACTATAAAAAGAAAAATGAACCTACACTTTTACAGGGAAATAAAGGAGTTCCTCAATAGTTCACCACTGAAGCATTTCTTGCTATGTTGCTTATAATGATACTAACGTCTGCATGAACACTTGTCTGCATGATTTTTTTGCTCCTGTCAAAAGTGATCATTTGGTCAAATGCAATAGCTTCCTATGCTTTATAAGTGCTTATAACCATCTTCTTGTCATAAGTATTGTGTCCCACACAAATCTCCACACTTTCTGGTGTGTGAATATCCAGTAGGGAAGTTTATTTATGTCCAAATGGTTGAGAAGGCACATAACAAATTAGGTCACCATTCAAGCTGCTTTCTTTTCTCATTCATTTCTTTTCTTGGTGCTTCTCACCTATGACCTCGCCAATCATGAAGACGAGGCAGACTGCTGAAGCGATGTAGAGTTTCTTCTTGGCCAGCAGCTTGTCCACGCTCTCCTCGCATGCCGACGCTTTGGGGCCGTGGCAGTGAGTGCCGACGGGTCGTTTCAGCTCGATGGCGCCCGACATGCCTCCATTCTTTAAAGGGAAGTCTGAATAATGTTCTTTGGAGTCTGGAAAGGAGCTGCAGGGGGGCAGAAAATAAACAGTAGTATATTTTCACAGCTTGAATGAGTGAGCTTGCCATGAAGGATGCTATTATCACTTAGCTGCTGCTGATCAAACAATGTGACCCTCAAGCTGTTCCTCCTGAAGAACCTACCTATGATGCACAGGGCTGCCGTTATAATCTTACACCTGCAGTATTGTGCTGTTGCTCTAGCTTTCAGTACCACATTTAAACATACTCGGTTACATCACCTGTATCAGCTGTAATGTTTGATTTTTTTCAGGTAATGAATGAACAGAGTTGTTCGCTGTGGTTTTTGATGTTTCATTTGTTATATATTTTTTACGCATTTGTTTATTGTAAAGCTTTTATGTGACCTTCCCTGGGAAAGAAGGATATTAGCAATTTTGGCATGTTTACATCTCACCTTTTTCTGCATAATGATGTGAGTTACTTGGACTATTAAATAAATAATAAATATAAAATAATAAATATGAGTGTTGTCACAGAGACAGTTCCCAGTTTAAACCCTAACTGACAAGCATGCTGGGTTAACTGGTAATTCTACACTGATAATAAATGAGAGGTAGATAAGATGTGCTCCAAAGCTCAGTTTTAATGCATTGTTAAATGAGGTCAGTGCAAATAGAAAAGCACTATATACAGTATAAATATCATAAATCATGCTTGGCTGTTCAGACAGAAAGCATTATATCTGAAGATGTGAGCTAGTCTGCAGTGTGATGGGTGCATTTAAAGATAAATCTACTTATTAAGAAAAAAAATTATTTTTGTATCTTCTGACCGACATGTCTGTTAAAACAATGTAATTTCAGCCTTAGTAAAACCCCCTGTCCAATCTCATGGAAGCCGGCTTTTTGTCCATCCTTGTAACAGCAGCACAGCTGAGGTGGGTTTTTTTAGCTGATGTTACAGTGCAGCGGATCATCTTTTGATAGAGTCCCAATGGTTTACAAAGTGGAAACCTGACAGAGTGCATCGCAGTCAGTGTTCACTTAAGTGAAAGAATGGTGCGCCGTTTCGTTCGATGAAGAACCCATTAAAATCGATTCATGTTGACAGTGAAGGAGGGTGAACAGACTGCCCTGTTTTACAGTCCAGAACTTCACGTCACGACTGCTCCTGAGTTTTAATAACTCATAAGCGCTCCATCTTAGGTCTTGTGCGTTGTGTTGTTTTCTATTCATCCAGGTTACAGCAGTGTTTTAATTGACAACAAATTTGTGAATGAAAGTCATATCTATCCAAAATGTTGTAAAACAAGCAAACAACAACAACAACAACGAATAAACAAACAGCAAACAACAACAAAAACCTTAAGAAAGTGTAACAATCCTTTGACAAGCAAATTATAAAATTAGTGCTTCTTGTGTATAATAAATCAGACTGTAAACTTGAAGCCAGACACTGCCCAAACATCAAACATATAAAAACAAATAGATAAATGTTTTTTTAATACTCCATCCATCCGTTTTATTTACCATTAATCCTATTAGGCCTGCCAAGGTTTGGAGACTATACCTGTTGTTTGGCAAGAAGAAGGATGTACCCAGTACTGGTCACCCATCAACCACAGAGATTCACAGAGACAACAGACAACCATTCAAACCCAGTACCAGGTAATTCCAAAGGAATCTGAAGGAAGTTGATTAGAATACAAAAACATGTGTACACTCAGCAGCCATTTTATTAGTTACACCTCAGTAGTACTGGGTTGGACAATCTTTTGTCTTCAGAACTGCCTTAATTCTTATAGCACAGATGGATCAAGGTTCTGGGTCTAAAGGTTGCTGAGTTGACCTAATACCTAATAATCTGGCCTGTTTATTTGGTAATTTAGTAAATTAAAACAGTAGCAGTGGTAAAATAAATAATACTGTAATCATTTAATAGTTGCCATTCTGTTCATTTTGCACATAAATACAGAATCTTTTCATTTAACACCATCTTGCCTATCTACAATAAGATGCTTTTCATTTGAAAGTCAATTTTTCAGTGTTCAATCGGGACATTACAGATCTATGTTTGAACCCTGGCAAGATGCAGACCAGACTGGATTACTGCTGAGAATAAAAGAAAATGCTGACCTTTCCATTTATTTTCTATCTTTGTCTCTCTCTCTTACACACACACACACACAGGTTGCTGTTCTTATCATGCGTGGGGGAGGATTCGATGATGTGACTAATGAGGTGGAAAAAAGCTAATTTGGCCTCACTTGAGATAACCAGACACACACTTTAATGTCACACTCTTCACACAGGAGATTGCGAGCGCTGTACGATTATCACACACACACTCGTCTTCGAAGATGTCCAACCTCAAAAGAAGCAGCCAGGCGGAAAACAGATTCTGTTCAATTATACCACCGGGACACGAGAGAAAACCACAAACACACACACACACACACACACACACACACACACACACACACACACACACACACACACACACACACACACACAATGAAACCTTGGGGTGATGATAAATTCCAGAGTGTGCAGAAAAAAATATCCTGTTCAAAAGATTCATGCAAAATATCCTCAGACATTAAACACACTGTGTGGCCTGCAGCGCAACATTGTCAGGGGGGGAGGGCCGCCTGTTAAGCAAACATCTGTGCCATTAACATCTGTAACCCTTCTGCCAAATTCAAACACAACAAGATCTTTTTTTAATCCCGTTCTGAAGGTAAACTGAACAACAGTGAATGTTGGTGTATACATGTGTCCATATATGCTAGTATATGCATTTGTATATAGGTGTGTGTGCATATATATGGATTTCTTGTCATCTTATTACTCCATTTATTTTAATCTGTTCTGTTTATTTTGCCTACATTATCCTTATGTTCAGCACTTGTTCAACACCTGATGTCTTTTAAACATGCTATACAAATAAAGCTGATTTGACTTAATGGTGGTTTTACATTTATTAAGGGTGAAATGTTTTTGTTTGCACTTTCTTACTTTCTCATCCAAAAATCCTGGTGCAAATGAATACCTCATGAAGTTACTGCTTATTTTATTTGATCTCGGTAGTAAATTGCACTGTTCTTTTGGAAACTATATGGTTGTTGGTCAGCACTCCTTAATCAAGTGGCTCCTTGGCTTTAAACACTGAAAACACTCCCAGCCAACCGCAGTAATACCGCAGCTGTGCCTTAAACTGGCTCAGTAGCATTCAGCACTAATTTGTCAAGTCAAATAGTCAAATCCATTAATTAGGTGGACATATTGTGACTGTAATATTACCTGCAAAAAACACCCCCAGAGAATTGAAAAAAGTGTGTTTAAAATGATATTTGAAATGCAAATACAAGCTTAAGTTATTTAAAATCCAATATATTGCAAAGCTTTTACAATTATGTGTTTTTTGCAGTCTATTTATTTCAAAGTGGTGACGATGTTTTGACCCTGGTGGTGACTGAGCTTCAATTCTTTTAAGAAATAAAAACAAATTTGAAGAAAAAGCTTTTATGTTTGTTTGTAATGTGTATTTTCCTGTTCATGCATTTTATGTGTAACACTACAGACCTTAAAAAGAACAAAAGTTGTACAAACAACAAAAAAATATATTGGTGCATTTTAGTTTTTGCTTTCAGCATTTAGTGCTAATAGTCTTAATGTTTTTAAGTCCTTTGGTTTAAGTCAGACGATCGCAGGTCAAACGTAAGTGTGTCTGAGCGTTTTTAGTAGGAGAGATTGCTCCTCGTGTTGACTCTGCAGGGGGGGAAAATAACACAATGACCAAAATATTCAACGAAACAATCAAAAGTGTCGTCACTGAGACGTTCCCTGAGTGGGATAATTCACTCAGTGGTCTGTATTTAGGGATTTACAGCCCTCTGCTGACCCCGCCTCACTTTTGGTGTCTGGCATCAATGATTATTTTTCATTTAAATACAACTAACATAAGCACAAGAATGAGATGGTACTATAAACTGCCAAAAAACCTGCTTCTGCACTCCAAATATAATTTAAAAAAACTAGTAATTATTAATGATACATGGCTCATATTCCTCTGGCAGTCATCCTCAAGTACTTTTTTCACTGCCACCCTTACAAATTGACGATATGGCAGACCCAAGGAGTCTCCTTAAGATTATTAACATTAGATTTTCTTTTCAAAGTAGATTTCATGTCTTTGTCAATACCCCACAGGGCAGGTAAGCAGCGTTTATTGTTGCCCAGCACCGGCAGCACAAACAGAGAGAGAGACTCCTCGGGGGAAAGTCAGTGATCTGTGAAATGAAATGAGATCTTGGAAGTCCAGCGGGGGAAAAAAACAAAATCATAAGCATTTAATTACAACTGCAATCTGCTGTATCAGAACATCCCGCAGCACTTTTGTTAACAGACAGAAGAATCTCTGCAGCGAGAAACTACTGAGCAGTGTTTTATTTTTACAGATATGCATATTAATATTTCAGCAGACAAATCAGTGGAGTACAGAATGAAAGTGATTATCATCTTATTATATCCTCATCTTTTTGTTTTATCACTTGTGATGTGCAGGCTTTAGTAAATAGGCAGTGTCTATATATATGTTTGTGTGTGTGTGTGTGTGTGTGTGTGTATATACACACACACACACAAACACACACATTACAGTGTTGTAAATTTGTGTTTTATACAAATGCTACATTTGTTTCTAATATTTTAATTAGAGGTTTTGAAAGCTTTACACTTGGTGAGATCTTGGTCAACAGTCCATGTTTTTAACCTTAATAAAAGGCTCTGGTTTTATCCAGATGATCCGGCTTTTTTATGTAAACAAAAACATTTATTTTTAAATGTTTGTGAACGACCCATGAGATTTGCCTTTGTTTTTCCCCAGAGAGAAGAAAGGTCCACATCAGTGCACCATAAGTCATGTTTACAGTTTACGATGATTTCACATCACATTGCAGACCGAAGTCACATTTCCTTTTCATCACTGGTCTTCAATCT